ATTTAGCTGTAAACTAGAAGTCCTGCACTTCAGAGCACGAGGAGAGTTTCTGAAGAAAGCGTAAGATCACGCTGGAGACCCACTCTCATTCCCCTGTTCCATACAAGGCAGAGGAAACTGTGCTGCTTTCTGCTGAGACGTATGGAAACTCACAGCATGCTGCTAATTGGCAYAGGGACATGACGCCGCAGCTGTGGGTGTCCGCACAGACAAATGGCCTCCACGTGCATTTTTGCATATATTTTTTTATGCAAGGCTGCAGAACAAAATATAATTGGGCATACTTTGGAGAAAGACACCTGAAATAGGAATTGGGTAATGAATAGGGSATCAGAGAGTATTCTATAAGCTTCTATTGCTTGCATCCCTGCGAAGTGAAGCCAACACAAAGCTCTAATGAACGTTAACTTCAAAAATGCAAAACCACAGAACACAGGATATTTATTGCACTAATGATTCATTGCGTTTTGCATACAACAGTGAACAGAAATAAAAATGTTCACAGCTGCCTTTTCTTGGTATTTAGCTCTAGGCCAGGAGAGGAATGCTAAGGTTTAAAATACAAAGAATCTTTTCTTGATCTCTATTTTTAAGGAAATAAACAATGGGTACCTTAGCCCAGGTAAGGAAGAGACAGAAACGTCATTTTTCAAATAGTCTTTGCTGCTAATGACATAAATGTTTAGTTTGCCAGGTAGCACCATTACTAAGGAGAGAAAGAAGAACAATATAGTCATTGTATCTGAATAATTCTGCACCACAACACTGTCACATCAAAGCAAAACTGACGTCAAAGGGGAAAAGTCCAACCTAAATTCCAGCAAACTGTGATGRCTTTCCATGGACACAGGTCAGGCAGATTTTAAAGTGATCTCCAAAAGAGTAGCCAACCAAGCCTGCAGTAACCTGTACCTCACTTAACATACAGGTATTCTACTGAATCTTACAGTTTTGTGTATCTTAGAATTATTTGCTGGTGAGTGGTTTTCTACAAATCTCCACCAGACTGTTCTGGACATCCTCCTGCTTTGCTCAAGCATGACTACAAGGATAGAAATCACAAGAGCTTATGTTTATAGCTTATGATCACCTAAGGATTTATCCTGAAAGAAACTATCAAAGCAAAGCAATCAGCCAGTTTTTCCTGTTTAACCTTTCATGGATTTAATTAATATACTGAGATAGAAGAATTTGCTCTCTATGCCTTCAATATTTTAGGGGCCAACAGAAGACAATATCCCATTCTGAAGGAAACACCTTATGGTAACCATGGTTTCTGTCTGACCTTAATTCCAACACATCAACCACACTAGTATTTACTAGTCCTTCTTTACTCACATCAAGTGCTTCCTGCACACTTAAAAAAACCACTTAATAAAGCTATAGTTTAAATTCACATACTCTACAGTAAGATAACTCCCTACCTGTACGTGTGAAGAACTTCAGATGACAGAATGTCAGAAAATTAGACTGTTCAGGCTGCCCTCTGCTGGTCTTCCTTTAGTTCAGTTTTCCCTTTAAAACAATTTTTTTCTTGACTGAAATGATAGCAAAAGAGTATCAGCATCAAGGATTACACCAAGAAAATTCATCAGTAAGAAGTCAGTGCCTTGATTCCTGCTTTTGAAGAACAAATAATTGAACTGCTCTATATTCAGATATGAATAGGTTATTAGGCAATTAATGTATTTCCTTTGTAATTAATTTTGCATAAACAGGGTTATATTGCTAGTYGACAATTTCCAAAAAGATACAGAATGAAACAAAAAAGTCAGTCTTCATGCTTTCCTGTAAACCAGTGCTCTGCACACTAATATCTCATCCTTTCATGTTACTATAGTCAGAAATAGGAGAGATGTGAAATATATTTTTCTGCTGTACCTAACACTCTTCACTGCTCCTGCAAGAATAATGTTCATCCTCATTGCAATCTTAAGATCATTTTCACACTTGTCTCAGAGATGGCTCCTGCAGAAAGGAAGGYACCCAGGTGACATATTTTTGCGCTCCTGCAGAAAGGAAGGTACCCAGGTGACATATTTTTGCAATGCTTGCCAAAACTTCAAATCACTGACTCCCAAGGGATTGGGTCCTGCCTCTTAAAACCAACAGAGAAACCAGCTGTGTCAGGTGACTGAATTAAAAATGAAAAAACATACAATAAAAGTTTCTAGAACTTAGCTCTAAAACTTAATTCAAAGACTAAAGGTGAAGAATGACAAGGTTTAAATTACTTAGAATGAGTTGTTAAAAATTATCTCACTTTTATTGAACTGTAATTCAGTTTATACTTCAATGCTTAAAGGATAATGGAATATCATGATAACAAACATGGGTGTAAATTGAACAACCTTTTACCCATTTTTATGCAAATACTTAGATAATATTATGTAACTATGTGACCATTCACATGGTATTCAATACTACTTTAAGTAAAAACAAAAATGCAAACAATAGTCTACAGATATTGGAGAGAAGGAAATTGTATTTGCCAGGACGCTTCTTGACTGATACTTCAGAAACACATTCAGGGTGCAGGAAATCAACAGGCACTTATTTCTGATACCTGGGGCACAATGGTACCAGATAAGCACTCCTCCTTAACTGGAAAACGTAGGAAAATATTAAGATTAGGTAGGTAGCTAGATAGTTAGTACAGTTCTGTTAGTTTTATGGTATGCCATGCAGAGAAGGGGAAATTTTACGTAAAAGCCTTGAAAAATCCTTCTCCAATTTCAATAACAAAAGCATGAATCAGAGCAGTTAAAGCAATTCAGCCATGAATAGGATGCAGAAAAACAATCATTCCACCAAACAGAAATGGAATTGAATACATGTTTAAATATTATGTTTAGAGGGGGCAACAGAAGTTACTCAGACCACTAAAATACTTCATACAACAATAAGGAAATTACAGCCTTGCAACAGCAAAAGCAAACACCAGCATAAATTCACTTTAAACAAGTATATAAAGTGAAAATTTATGTAGTCTGATCCTGTGAACAACAATCTCTTGCTGTGCTATGCCCCTGAAAGTCACTCCCGTATATTTGGTCTATTCGAGTCCTCCACATGGTCCAAGTCCTAATATTTCCCTAATCACACACACACACACAGAAATTATTTTGCAGTAAGATTCAATGTCAATTTACAATCCTGAGTTTCAATTAGACAAGATCATTCAGCTGTGTAAGACTGAAGACTAAGGTATTAGTGTGCCAAGGTCACCAACACTACTCAGGTACTTCTAAGACGGCCTGCTCTTGATCCAGCTCCACCAGAGGAGCTTTGCGCCTTGCAGAAAGGGAAGGTCCGGCTGAACAGCAAGCGGACACATCCCATGCCAGCCAAAATCTTGTGTCCTKTTGTAGCTTTGCAGCTGTAAGGACTGCACAAGGTGTGAAAACTGACCAAAGCAGGGTTTTGAACACCYAGCGATTGCATTCCTTGATGAAAGTCAATGACGAGCATTTCTCTGATTTCCTAAGACAATACTTTTTACATTTGAGGACAAGCAGGGGGAAATATCATCACCTTCAATGCAGGCCTCAGACACTTAAAAATAAAGAGGAAAAATACCACCTTATGTAAATAAAAGCATATGCTCTTTTTTTTTTCTTGAATTAACATTATTTGCCACATTTCTGCCTTCCTGCAAAATTTTCAAATTCTTTTGTATTCGACTGGATTAATGGTTAGTTGAAACAAAAGAGACCATCCATTCCCTTTTGTATGGGCGTAGATGAAGGCATGGACAAAGCGTCAGGTGAAAACAGCACGGCCCATTCATTTCACAGGAGTGAGGTTGCTACAGGTACAGGTAAGAAGAGTAACTCCAGAGGTCTCATTTCACACAAATATAGCACAAAAAAAAAAAACCCCAACCCCCCCGCCAAACAAACAAAAAAAATCCTAGATTATGACAGTATAATTCAGGATTAAGTGTGACACATGCAGTTTGCAACTTGTCAGCAATCAGCAAGTCTATCTGAAACAAATCAACACAACCCTCTATTAAAAAAAAATTAAATGAAGAAAGTAGGTTTCCCAAAACAAATCCTAAATGTAGATATTGACAGCAGACATTAGCATACTCTTCACATCATTTTCAGTTTTTTTTATTCTTCAGGAAGTTAGATGCTGTCATGTACCTCTTGTTTACGCATTTCAAAGATGTGATGACAGCAAACATTTTAAGGAACAAAATCTGAAGAGATATTTTTACTTTCAGGCAAATATGCTTTATATGTAACCACTCTAACCATTTTTATGGTTTGCCTTTTTATCCATTTTATYCATTGTCCCCATCTCAAAATGCCAAAGGTCTCCAAGAACACATCTGATGTTTTATTTCAATTTGTATAAACAAATATTTCTTGTCTCATTTCTGTTAAAGGAGATGTTACTGAATGGTACAATTCAGTTTGCATGCAGGCTGTTGTAAAGAAATRGAATTAAAAAAAAACTGTTTGTTTGTTTAACCTGGAGAAAAAGTTGCAATACTTTCATCTACTTGCATAGAACAGGAATGGTGGAATGGACTAATCCCCACACACATGACTTATTTGGATAAATATTCCATACTTACATACAATAGCACCTTCCAATGGCTCCCAAAAGAAATCTGTATAATATACTTACTTGTAAAATATATATATATATCAATCATATAAAAATACTCATGCAGCCCTTTACTGTGGCCAACTAAACAGCAGAATTCTGCACAGCACACAGCAACCCTACAGAGCATCAAGAAGACAGAATGAAGAACAGTATATCGGCTTTTAAATTACACTGGGAACTTGATGGGTAGATTTAGCTATAAAAACAAATAACTTGTTGAATTATACTATTAAGGAAAACATATATAGTTTTTTTCTTCTTCTTTTTTTCTTCTCCTTTCAAAGTTATCTGGAATCGCTTGACAACTTCGGGAAAAAAAAATCATAGATAACCATCCAAAACTGTAAATTCCTATGCAATCAACTTTGAACACAATTTATCAGTGAAAGATGTCTGCAAATACAGAAAGGGTATAAAAGTAATTGCACTGTAAAACAAATTCCATAATCAAAAGTTTCTTCTCTCACCACTGTACGACTGATGTTTTCTGAACTTATGACATCTGAGCAGGTCAAAGTAAAAATAATTTAGTTGAAATTCTCAACTTAGTATTAGCAGCAGATTTAGGCTTGCAGCAGATTTAGGCTTGCAGCATTTTAATTATGGCTGGTGCCTTAAACATAGTCCTTTGAATCTTAAAATAATAACAGCAAGACAAATCAGTAACACAAACTTCCAGAATACTACTGGCAATTTATATTCTCACTAGGTTCTGTAAATGTAGCTAATTCTGTACAAGCACACACAATGCATATTACCACATTTATATATAAAAAAAGAAAAATAGCCATTTCTGTTCATCTCAATTTCAGGCACATAAGCCTCCAACAGCTTTACAATAGAATATGTATTTGAAAATGAAACACTTTGTAGTTACCTTTTAATATTATCCATTGAAAGTACAACATTATTCAACAAATACTCAGCGTGCAAAACTTGACCTTTCATTCTGGAACCTCTGTGATATCAAAGCTAGCACTGTCTGCACAATTATCTTTGGCTTTAAGTTATATAAAACATACCTCAGGGGATCTGAAAAAAAAATTTAACATTCTGTGGCACCGAGAAAGAGAGAGATGAGATGGAGAAACTCATAAGTTTGGACACAATTATTTTTAATAAATTAGAATACCTCTATTGTTATTTCTTACATAACAAATTTGTTTTTCACTAAATTTTGTTTCAATCATGAGGTTGATACTTCATCCTTTATAGAGATCTTACTTGTTCAGACAAGTTTATTCTCCATTCTGTGTTCTCCAAGGCATTAGATTAAGCAGTAATCTTAAAACACTGGGAAAAAAATGCATCCACAGGTTAAATTTGTTTTAATGAGATTTAATTTTATGGACTGTCAGATACTTGTCAATACTTTGAGATATTGTGTCTTTCTCTAGGATCTAATTTAATCTAAGTCAAAATTTCCTGCCATTTCTTTCCCCCATTCATCTCCACAGCAATCTTATTCTCCTCACTGCAGCTCACAGAAAAGCCTAAATATAGAACTGTCAAGTCTGTGATGTAACTAAAATCAGACTAAAACTTATTTGGGTTTCTAACTTCTTTGGTCTTAAGTAGAAACATTCAAAGTCTATCTCAAAATCTCAGTACTATTTCCAGCTAAATCAGATGGTACAACATGACAGAAAGTCCTTTGTAAACTGAAACACTTTCTGTGCTAGCAGTGTAGTTTAGGCCCTCAGTGATCTTGATACTGACCACAACTCACAGCAGGATTTTACTTGGTTATGATACTTGCATTCCTCACTGTAAAAACTGTGCTGAAATAAAGCATCTCTCATTCCCTTTTACATTTAATAAAGTGTTCTTGTACATTCCCTTACAGAAGAGATTGATTATTCTTTTCAAATGTTATGTGCCATGAATACTAAACATACAAAGAATTAGAACATGTTAACCTTATATTTAAATGTCTCTAGTTTCAATATAAAAAACAAGACCTGGAAATGAACAAAAAAATGAGAATTAACAGTTTTTCAGGTTATTTCAAATAAATTAAGTATTTTAGCTGTCCATCTGACACTACTTATTTCCTCTACATGTACGTGGGATTGTTTTTCTGTAACAGAATTTTAAATGTTGTCCAAACAGGAAGCAATCTTCACCAAGTTTAACCCAAAGTAAGTCGCATCGGATTCTCTATGTTGGCTTTTAAGGTCTCCAAAAACTTTGAAGCCAGTTCATCATCTACTACCCGACCATCACTTGACAGAGTCACTGTCATGAGTTGATGTTGCTTAAGTTTCTCATTCCCTTCTTCATCTTCCACAATCTTGAGCTCTGGTCTGGCTCGGCCCACAGCTAGGATGCAGGCCTGTGGAGGGTTTATGACTGCAATGAAGTCACTGATGCCGAACATGCCCAGATTGGAGATGCTAAATAGAAAACAAAAGTATTAGTAATGTCAAAAATATATATATGCTATATAATAATCTATAGTCAATGACTACTATGGGCTATCTTCTGTCCCAAGGCTACTCTTGTTTATTGTAATAAACCTGAACTGGACACATTCAAACTCTAAACTGTTTGGAATTCAGAGAGGGATTTTTTAAAATGCAATTTTTCCACTTATTCACTCTCTTCTATTGCTGGCTATAGTAAGGTAGGCCTATATTCTTGCATTGCAGCATAAGAGACACAGGCAGCTGCAGGATTTCTGCCGTTTTGGAATAAGCAGTAACATACATAGGCAGATAACTGCTGTCTTCCCAAGGAGGCAGTAGATAGATAGCGGGTTTCCAGTCAGCTACATGATCTCATATGTAATTTCAGTCACTTGAATTCTTACCACAAATAAAGAAAAACAAACAAACTAGTCACTCYTGCAAACTTCCATGAGCTTTCGCTGCTAAAAGGCTTGTGAAAAATAGATTCTTTAGACCATCTTCTACCACATACTCCAGAGAGCTGAAGCTTGGGCACACTACTGTGTGTTACTGAAGTATTTGTGCAGAAGATAGTGTGAATTTTTTAATAACTAAGTGAAAGCTTAAATTTGCAAGAGTAAAATGTTGACCAATGCTATGTTTGTCCATTACACTGTTGGGAATCTGAAACTAAAAAGCGAGCTGAGCAACTGCAACTCTGTATAACTACATTAACTCTAATGTTTGCTCAAAGCCGCTAGCTTTTATTAAACTAGCCCACTAGCTCTTTTTKCTTAGTTTATTTTATAAAGAAGTTACTAACTGTATAATTGAACTAATCAGTTGTAGTCTGATTTTAAATCAAGCAAGCTTTTACAAGACTGTGCAAGAATATATAGTGGAACATCAGAGGATAAGACAGCTATAAACTCATAGTGCAAATATTGAGTACTGCTGGAGACTTTTACCTAAATGATCCCCCCTGATATTCCTCCGGTAAGAGTTTCCCATCTCTTGCTTTCTTTGCTAGAGCCTAAGAAAATTGAAAGACAAAAAGGGAGAGAGAAAGGAAATGAAAACATAGCAGGCTCATTCTTTTTGCTTCTGTAAAACATTACAAATACCACACAGTCACAGCAAAAGACATCTGTTTTTTAACTTAGACAGRCGCATTAGCAACAATTCCACTGTAGTTGCAATGATTTGATAGACACTAGGGCMGATTTTCCCAACTACAGTGGTTGTTTAATAAAACCCGTCCTCTCACAGTCTTTGCACCACAAAAAAGTTTGTCATTTTTCCCAGGTGTTTAGATGACAAGCATATCTATGATATACTGATGAGACAAATTCATAGTATTCTTCCTTATGTACTTGGTTACAAAATGTGCCACTCTCTAGCAGATGGATAGAAAGGGAATGTAATTTTTCCAGCAAAGCATTTATCTACCTAAAAATGGCTTTCTAGGAATTCRTCTCTCCCCAACCCATGGTCCTGCACAGACATGTGCCTTCTACTGTGTCTCTACTTTAAAGGAATTCCACAATTGATTTTAAGGATTTCCTCTCTCTCCTTTCAAAAAAACTCTCTGTTGCTTTCCAGTTATTTTCTACAGACCTTCTAGGACCCTCCTACCCCCCACACTTTCTAGGAGTTTTCCATGATATGTCTCAAAATTTTAGCATCATCACTCCATGTTTTCGGAATTCTCYACTTGCAAGATATTCCCATCCGACTTTGAATGATTCCCCAGCTGATATCCAGGTAATCCCTGTATCTACTTTCAAACATATGACAACCTGCTATCTAGGAAAATCCTGCTCTGTTTTTGAAGAGAAAGGTCTGCTTTGGCCATTTGTCAAGAAAGTCAGCAAAGTGGTAATATAGCTACAAGTGAGTACTAAGGACAAAAGGTGCAGAATAAAGACATAACAGATGAGTCTAGACCATTAGCGCTTAGACAGAAATTTTATAGTCAGCAGAACAGATTAGTGTCCAAGATAGTCCACAGTGAAAATGTGTGAACCTAGATTAAAATTGTGCTACAAGTATCTTGGGAAATACAATACCTAGTTAATTCTTTTGTGGTTAAAAATACTAGTCCAATGAAACTGAGCTTTTTGGTCTCTAATAGAACTGTAATAATTCTAGCTGTCAAAATATTAAGCGTTTTTTTTTTTGTGCAGCGGTTACTTGAATAGTCTGAGAATATAGACCAAGAATAATCAATTCATTTCACACATGTCAAATTGCCTTGCTTAGTCAATTGATTTTAACCAGTGGCTACATAAAAGCATCACATACKTCCTCAGCTCTTTCATCAGCCAATTCCCCTCTTTGTTTCCTTCAAAATTTCTTCTTAAACACTTTCTGAATAATGGAGACAGTGACATGTTGAAATAGCTCATAAAGAACTAATAGACTTTAATTCATCTGTAAATAATTAGCAAATCAGAATGCAACAGTTAAGGGAATAGTGTTCATCAGCATGATAGGGTCAGTATAAGTATAATGTGTATGTGCAGTAAAACTGCTGAAATGATGAAAATATGGTGACTGGATACACATGACCTGGAAATAAGTTAGAATTTACATTGAGCAGAAGGGAACATAAAGAACAGACAGAGCAAACATCTGTCAAATGCCTGAGACAGAGAAGCAGACGYGGATTCACAACCTATTTACATGTCTGTATATTTAATTCAGTAACTCAGGAGAGAAGTTGAAAGGAAAAATTAAGCTGGTGTGGACAACTAATTTGTCCAACTCATCCAGCCTATGGAATTCTTTTAGATTAGTGTGACCTATGTTGCACACATTCTGCTTGAAAGGAARGGGGAATGCTTACCTTTGAGTGGCCCTATTAAATACAAAGCAAGTATACATTCTCATCGCAGCAAATGTAGGACAGCCTACAAAGAATACTGTAGGATAATCTTCTGATAGCTCAGGTTTGTAATACCACATTACAGTAGCACAGATACTGAGGATGAAAGTTAAAGAATATCTTATCCTTTTAATAATACTTTTTATTCTATTTCTAATCTCAGAGTACATTTTACACACTGCATCTAGAAAAAAAAAGAAACATAACTTGCATGGATCTAAAAGTAGCATATTACAATCTTGAAGAAATTTTCTTGAAGAAATACAGAAATAGCTTTCGATCCATTCCGAAACTGGTTTTTGTTACTATTTGTATGTATCTGGGTCATGCTACCTTCTCTGTAAGAAACTACATAGCTTTTATATTCCTCAACCTACTGTACATTTAAGACCCACCTTTGCAGAGGCAGCAATTTCCTGTATTCCCTTGGCAGCAACATCTTTTATGACTGGTGTAATGAGACCACGGTCTGTTGCCACAGCAATAGAGATGTCAATGGTGTGCAGCTGCCTGGGGCCCTCTCCACCCCAGGTTACATTCACATCTGGCAATTGCTGGAAAAGAAGGAGAAGAAAATGGTACAGCTGTTAAAAAAAATAATGGCGCAACCAATTATCAAGGAAAAGGAAAATCCTTTAAGATGCATAGTTATACGCAGGCATTCGCAAAGTAATTAGTGCATCACAGACTGCTGTTTGCAAATGAAGGCTAAAGAAGAGGTCACATCTGTCACTGGGACTGCACTTAGTTAAACAAGAAAAAGGATAAAATCACTATGAGACTCTAAGAATAGATCTGCGTGATTAGCTTGCATCTACTTAAATCTATTTGTCCATAAAGTGTGAGGGTATGCTGCAGGCGCAGACAGTTTTTTTAGTGCAGCTGGAAAACCAATATATTAACAGAAACCTCCAAATTCCTTCAGGACTCTCAGATGCCACCTTAGAATTGCCCTGTATGCAAGAACTACAAAGCAGTGTCTGTTCCCTTCCCCAAAAAAGCAGCACCGCACATGGATTTTTTTGTTTGTTTGTTTTTTTTTGTTAATGGACTCAGAACTAAAATTCAGATAACATTGATGATAATTTCAACAAGGCCTTTGAGTTCATCATATAGAGCTGTATTAGCTCAGGGAAGGAAGCCTGCAGGTGAAGTCCTAGGTAAGAGATGCAGGAGGAGCTTGCACTCACTAATGATTACACTAATCATTACAAGCTATGCATTTAAAACACTAATCGTTACAAGCTATGCATTTAAGGCTGAACTTCAAATGCTATTAGGTGAGAAAAAGTAAACCTCTGGTTTTGAATTCAAGGAAAAGCAATTTTGAGAAAAAGAAAGGAGAGAGGAGCAAATGTATCTTTTTTCCTCCTTTTAGGGTGGGTAGGCTAAAACTGTGATCCTATTCATACTTGGGAGAGTCTTATGGAAAGCTCAACTGGCTTTTAAAAATTAAGAGCTTTTTCATAGTGGTTGTATCTTGCTATCCAAGTGGATATCATTATATATTACTATATAACGTCTTCAGCATCAAGTTTTCAAAATGTTAACTACTAAAAGTCTCTGGCTTCAAGTTTTCCTTACTTTATTTGGTTAAAATGTAAAACCACTGCACGAAACACTACCCACAACCATACACTTGCACGCTTTAGAAGAGTCTTCAGTAAGTATTGCCAAGACTGTAATAAACTTCTCATTTGTGTGATACTCCTGCAAAGAGCACCCTTTCCTTCAYGTTTGGTATTGAAGAAAGAAATGGTCCCTTCCCAAGCAGGAGATTTTTAAGAGAGTAATAAACAGTATCAGAATTCTAAATTTGCTTTATGAAAGGAGGTAAGATGGATTTAAGACTGATAAGATTTAAGCACTGATAGTATAAAAGCAGAAGAGCATGTACAAAAAGTTAATAATCAAGATTTTATATAAGAAAAGCTATGGCAGAGATTATCCTGCTCTAACTATGGGGGTGGAAGAATAAACCTCAGGTTGTTACAATGACATATATCTTCATAAAACTGAAGATGTGCMCTTATATTCCAATTGCAAGCTATACAAACCAGTGTTGGCATGCTCTGTAACCCAATAAACAATCCTAGAGCTGAAAAGTGAAATTAGAAAATTATTAACTGAAGTGCCTTGAAACAAATGAGAATAATCAATCTTAAAATTGGTTGCCAAAAGTTGTGTCATAGGTATCATCATTYAGAATTTTGAAAATCATGATAGTGAAATGTATTTCTAAAAAAAATATTTATTTCATCTACAACGACTTACACCTCCACTTTTGTTAGGGAAAAGGCTAAATAATCTAATCTGTACATTTATAAACTGGCTTTAACATTTGTCTCAACAGAGGCAGAGATTTTTCCATACACAGATAGATCTTTTAAAAAGATACACAAGGTGCTGTTTATACACAGATAAAATAAGTTTTTAATCAAGTTCAACTTAATTGTGAATTTTTTGGATCACAGTTATTCAAAGCTACCTTGTTATTTTAGATACCTTTACAGGTAAAGTTTCTGGCTGAAAACAATAGCAAATAATTGAAACCACARCTTTGAAATCTGAGAATCTGAAACATTATGCCTGAATGAGAGCGACTAGGTCCAAAACATTATGACAGAAAAAATTATTTAAAGCAGAAGAGATAGAATTCTATAGCATTTATATGCAGAGTAAAAAGCTTTTGCAGAAGTGTAAATTCCACTGTCGTGCTTGTCCTCGGTGACTAAGTAAACATATAGATCAAGTATTAGTATTTAGTATAATRCAACAATGTGATGTGAGCAGTTATGAGAAAATGTGTTTGCTTTTCAATAATTATTTGAGGTACTTATCTTCATTTTGTATCTGTTCTACCACTATGCCTATGCAAGTCATAAATAATGTTTTAGAGAGACATGAAAATTGAAACAGAACTAGGGTTATGCAGAAGTATAGTAGGGCTAAACAACATATAAAGGTGAAAAGACCAAGTTTAAATTACCAGAAATTCCTTTTCTTTCCCTTTCCTTCTACTATTATTACAAAATTACATTCAGTAACTTGTATATAGAAGATCTCATATGAAATATACTAAGCAGCATGATACTTGTAATAAATGGTTAGTTGCTAGACAGGTGCCTTGTTGACTTTAATCAAATTAATGAACCTCTACAAAATTTAAATAAAAAAAGCCACAAGGATTTGGTTTATTAGTTTTATTTCTTTTTGCATCAAAAATWTTCCCTTTATTCTTTTATTGCATTGGTTTGGGATCCAAAGCTATTTCAATCTAACCTCAGCAACATACGTATGATAGATATGATAATCTCTAAATCTACTCTACCTAAACTTCCCTAGAGAAAAGTAGTAGACCAGAACTCTTAGTTCCTATTCTTCAACAGCCAAATGCATAAAGGAAGCGCAACTCTTCTGTCTGCAAGTTACTCGAACTGCAGAGCAGTGCTGCAGTACATGTACAAACACAAAATGTCTTCAAGCGGGTGTTGCGTGATCCAAGCCATGAGGAAAGTCTGGCTCTTCTAGTCTGTAACACAGCTAGGACATGCAATCACTGAGGAATCAAGAGGATGTAAAGTAGCACAAATGCACAGCACCACCAAAACTGCAACAAACTCTGTTGGGAACCTTGGGGATTAAGCATGCTCTTGCTGCAAAGCTCATGACATGTGAGAAATCTTTTTGACCTATCAATGTTAATTAAAGAACAGTTACTTCCTCATGAGCTTTGCAAATACTGGCCTTTAGCCTGGAAAGAGCTCTACCTAAAAGTTCTAAAATTAAATGTGAACTGTACTTAAAACCAACATTCGACATCTAAGTTAAGCTATCATAGCCCTTTCTTTTTACAATTTGGAAAGATGGACTAAGCAATAAATTTTTAAAGTGATTGTACTTGATGCACTTTGGACTAAGGAGGAGTGAGTTCCAAAGCATGGGAGTTCTCCTAAAGACTGATCTCTGAAACTCTGAGATTTTAAAGAGCTAACTGGCATTGGGAGTATTTTCCAAGCAGAACAATCAACACAAACGGGAAGGCAACTCACCCAGTTCCATCAGAAACAGGTAGGGAGGTTAGGGAGACCATGAAGCTTCATACCTGCAGATTTTCTACGCTGCAGACAGTGTGCAGATCTGTACTCATGCTGTAGGTTATCAGCAGAGCTCAAAAAAACTGAGACTCTACAATGAAGACTTAGCAGCTCTGCTATGATCTCATTYATATCTCTATATACGCTCACAGAATATTTCTCAATAACCTAATAGTTTACTATAAAGCATATTAATGATAGTTCTTTATTTACTCACCTTCAAAGTAACTGCAGCTGCTTTGATAATAAAGTCATTTACAGATACTTTAATGTCATCTGCAAAAAAAAAAAAAAAAAGGAAAAAAAGCCTTATGAGCAGTGATTATCACCATTATGCTATGACCCAGGATTACAGCGTTTCAACAAATCTGCTGCAAAGAAACAGAATTATCAGAAAAAAATAATAAATAGCTGCAGTTACTCATCTTCAAAGGACACTTTTTCTGTGCAGGACAATAAAAGTATCATTCAACTACAGTCTCCTGACCACAGACATTCTTCCTATTTTCTTGATATGGGGTTGAAAAGCTGCATGCTTGATGTCACTGATTTTCAGGGGGGGGAAAAAAAAAAAAAAAAAAAAAGAAACCTAGAATTAGTGGAATTGAGCTAATCTTTGTCACTCAGTTCAAACCCTATCAAAGGTTTCCTGTGGACCCCYACAACAATTTTAGCAGCTATGAGACAGAAGTATTGGCATCCAGTAGCTGTTACTGCAATTGTGTATTTGGCAAGGAAACAGTGGCACAAAACAGGATGTAGGAGAGGGTGGGTACTATGGAAAGAATGAAGAGATTAATAAGTATATTGTGGTTTTGATAAGTAACACATTAATAGCAATTCCTTCCAAATCTCCTTCATTATATACAGACAGTTCACTCTTCACTCTCCCACTCCACCTTTCCCTCCAAGCACACATTTAGCCTGCAGGAGGAGGCACTCACGTTCAACTTTTAAACATGAATGGAAAGAACAAGAAAATCACTCAGTCAAAGGAAAACACAACCTTTTCCCCCTRGCTGGCTCCCTAAGTAAATCCACGTTCCTCTTCTTGGACACCACMATAAGAAACACCACCACAACACAGACCCCACTGCTGCGGATGGACCCCTTATTAGAGACAGGGGATAATTTACTCCCCAAAGTGAATACCAGACAAACGTGCACAAAAAGCAGTGCCGACCTAAAATGAAGACAAACTATGTCAATCACTCTAAACTTCAGAAAATGCATTAAGTCTCACTATCATGACTTACTATCCATTCATTTACACCCTTAATTTACGTAATTTTTGGCATAGAGCCATGYAACATACAAATTCTACTTATTTTTATATAGCAGAAGAAAATGCATAGAAGAAAAGCTATCTAGCAATTTATAACACAAGCTAGGAAAAAAAAAAGGCTAGATTTGTTCTAGCCATTTTTTAAAAGCTTTAGGAGACTAGGAGGACTAAGTTTAATCATATGTGACAAGAGAAGCAAAGCCTACAGATATATTAGAGTAATTTTATACTTATTACAGCATTACTCTGAAAGTGTATGAGACTTGCACAATAATAAATGCATTATCCTCACAAAAACCAACTGTATTAGTCTACTGTCATGACTATCAGCCTCACACCTCAAGAAGTATAGCTACTTCCTTTTGGAGAATGAGTCATGGCACATAACTGATACATGTCTTTCAAAAACCTTTTATAAAGATAAAAGCAATCTGAATTTAATTCTAAAGTGCAATTTTCTTACATGATCACTGATTAGGAGAACTGAGCCAAGTATCCATTTGCCACAGAACTGACCTGTGATGATAACTATGGGTAACAATCTACTTAGCAGGTACACATCAGGCAACCCTCTGTCTGTCAAATATATCTGACACACTATAGACTTGGGGTATTTTGATTGGTATATAATATTCCTACCTTTGGGCAAAAAGTGTCACTCTCCACGAGGGTGAAAAGACTATGAAAATCCTACAGCTACAGCACAACTGACTGCTGTATTTTACCTAACTTCATGAATGCCACCTTAAGCTTTCAGGTTATGTACTGCCATATGGGAGAGACCGTGATCACTTCCATTAACACAGTGTCACCAGGAGTGACATTGTGGACCTCACAAATAGAAGAGAGTATGTGCTGATTACCAGCACCTAGCAGAGTTCCCCCCAACACGAGCATTCTGGTTCCCAGACCTACAGCATGTTTGACAGGAAATCATTATGAAGTGCTCTCACACTCGTGAAGGGCTCATGTCTTATGCTATAATGGCCCACCAAAAATCCTCTRTATTAGGCTACCTACAGGAGCAACAAAATAGCATAAATTACTGATTTTAGAAAACTCTGGATGCAAGCAAATCTTTATTATATTAATAAAGAGCCTTTATTAAATCCCTTTAATCTCTCTCAGAGAGAAACAGTATCAGATWCTTTGCAAGACAAGCATATAACTAGATGAACACTTATTGGTGCCTAAAGTCTAGCTGATGTCTCTGGCTATAGAGCATATCAGGTCTCACTCAAGATAACCTTGAAAATCCTTATCCAGACACATCTGCGTGATAAAGATAAGCTGTCCTTGTACTCTTGTTCCAATACTATCCTCCTTTGAACTGTTTAAAAGAAACAAAAACAAATGAACACAAAACACCAAAAAGAAAGATAGATAAATAGCTTACTGGCCGTATCACTGAAATACCAAGTTGCTTCTATGAAGTGGAACTTGGCAGAATAAATGAGAATCAACTCCCAACTTTAAATCAATGAAATATAGATTCCAAAGTCATGAAGGCACTTTTGATCATTAATAAATTATTGTTTTAACGAACTTAKTTAAATATCATTTTTCTTTTATTACTAGTATTTGTTTTATTCACGCTGTGTTTAAAACAGATCTACAACATCTTCAAATTACTACAKCTTCTACAAAACAGCTACATTCAGAGAATATTACAGCTGCAAAAAATACTACTCAAGTTCAAAGACACCAGATTTCAAGGCTTCCTATGAACCTTGAACCAGTCATTTCTTTCAACAACTGAAACTATGGTGTGACATTAAGTAGATACTCATAAAGCCATGCACTGTTTTATCACCTCTAATTCCTTGCTAGAAAGAAAAAACGAAGTAGAAAGCTTCTAAAAATCATCTGCAGTACTATTTATATTTATCATTTCTGTAAAAACAACATTTTTTACATCTGTCAGATTCAATTTAATTCACTTCAAGCACTAGCAAAACCTTAAATGGGGAGAAAAAAAAAGTAAACCACACACACACTACACTTTTATTTTTCCCAATCAGATTGATTAAAACTCTGTGTTTCTAATTACGTATAAAAACATAAATTTATAGTTAAAATTTCATCTGTTTACTTTATTTAATACTTTTTCCAGTTTTAAGTTTTAAGATATCACTTAGCTACAGCATCTCAACAGAGACAGACCTCAAGGGACTGTCCTCTGGAACCTCTCCTATGACTGATTAGGGACCTGCCAACTTCACTCTCCTTAGAGCTCGTGGAAGCCCTCTCAGCCTACATCTTTTCCCTTTTTCTTCAGTCTAATTTCCTTCTCATCATTTTCAACAAACGCAGCATTTAGACACACATCAAATATGCTGCTATTCATGTTTCCTCCCCCACCATTCTTTCAAGCTGTCTTTCTTGTCAGTTTGGATTTCCTTCTTCATCCTCTCAGAGGCTTCACTAAATGCACCCATATTACCACTCTAAAGTCAGGCCCTCYTTATTCAGCTCCTCCTTTCTCTTTCTTGATTTTTCAATGCTGTTGCCACACTTTCTTAATCATAAATAGTATTTTTTGTACATTCACTCATTGTAAATCRTAACTTCTAACTGAACATTTTTCCCCAGAGGTTGCATAAGATGTAAGTAATACCTAGAAAAGATCTAGTTATTAGAATTACAGGGTACTTTCACCATTTATGACAGCTTTACGTTGAACTTCAGGGTGTGCAGCAATTCTCAGGCCTGAGCCTAATTTGTACAAGTTGCAGCAACATCAATRTAAGTCGGTTTCTCTGTCCCAAATCCACACTTGCCAACCACTAGAGCAAATGTCTTTCAGTTCAGCAAATTGCTTTTCTTTTGTGGAGTTGTTTGTGGCCAGCATGCAATTTGTGTATTTTCAGGGAAAAAATATCTTAATATTCATATACTTTAACCAATATAATGAAGAAATAACACTTTCCAGAGAATATTATAGAAATAAGGAAGAATTACTCTGATTAGTAGCATCATTATGCATTGGATGACATGCATCCTTTTCTAACCAAGGATAGTCATACTCATTCAGTACTTGAAAGACTAAATTTGCTGTTCTTTTCTAATAAATTTGATGAGCAGCCTAGCAAGACTAAACTTCAATATTGCACTGAAAAGGACTGAGCATGAGCATATTTTCATTTAAAGCTTTCRATCTTTATTCTAATAATTGAAAATTATCCTTAACATGGAGAATTTGAGCTTTTAACCATGGAAAAGCTGAACACTGTGAAAGAGAAATTCTGTGCAATTTGAAAGTTCCATCTGGATAGAATGAAACAAAAACCTAATGGATAACGAGTAGCCCTGTGCTAAACTGCAGTGGTCTACACCACTGCATTAGYTGGCAAAATAACACCTTTGTCCTCCTAGCCCTCAATAAGGTGTCAGGGAATCTAACACGTCAGGCTTCTAACATATGGAACATCAAAAAAAGATCATTTGAATATCATGTTCTGCCCCCACAAAATCTTTAAATTCTGGAYATGTGATGATGTAAACCAAATAAAAGTACATACTAGTCCCATGTATTAGAGTAAGGTGAAGTAGTTAAACCACCAACCTTTAGCCAATTCTTTCCTCAGTTTCAAAATAGCATCAATGTCACAGTCAGCGGCAGCATATGCATGAGGTATAGTAGTTTTAGACTCTGTTAATCTCTTAGCAATAACTCTTCGGATGTTGCTAGCTGGGATTTCTGTGAAGGCACCCTTAAAAAAAAAAAAGTCATATGCTGTATTAAATATCAAGAGAAAAAACACACTTCTTGATGCATTAGCAGTATCTCCTCCTGATGTGGAACAACTCCTAAATATCAAAAGCAAYGTATTTCAACTACTGAAATTAATATGATTTATATCAGGGAATGTGCAATTACAGTATATTGTATACAGATCAATGAAGCAGATTATATAGAGAAAAGATAGGTTTGTTTTACAGCCTAGAATAAATCCAGGCTAGATTTAACACTTCAGAGAAACAAACAAGCTGTATTTACATACTAGAGTATGCAACATACTCTTTGCACCACTAAGTCCTTCCCAGCCTCATTTCTTGACCTTCCATCAACAGACGTTACCTGTATTGAATGAAAATGAATGAATGAATGAAATGAACACAAAAATAAAGCAGGATTCATGCCTCTCCAGGGTCTGGAGAAACATACTCATCCTCCAGGAATTAGGGGGAATAGTTGCACTGTTGACTTTTAAACCAGTTGCATCTTCCTCTTCGGGGATTAAAATAAGCAGTTGACTTGCCTCTTTCTAGGCAGAAAAGCAATGCAAACTTTTTTACAGCTTCAGTTTGCAAATGACACAAACTATCGAGTAGATTGTATTTCTGAGAGTTCTGCAGTTTGAATTACACTGCTGTAGAATTATTTATACATGCTAAAATTGCAAGCACTGGTCTTGGCATTTGTGTAGCCTCAGTTTCCTTCCTTCTCTGCACATCTCCTATAGATACACAGGCAGCAGTGACAACATTCAGCTGCAAAAAAAGTTGAGGACTTAACAGAAACGTTACCGGTGGAGGAGGTTTTCCTGGTGTGGAAAGTGGTGGAGCTGCTGGCCTTGGATAAGCGGAAGTCCCAGCTGTTGCCGGTGGAGCAGAAGGCACCGTGGTGGCCTGGGGAGGCGCCGGCGGAGCCGCGGCCCGCACTTCACTGCGTCTGCCCTTCTGCTTCTCTTGCAGGAGTTTGAGAGCATCCCTAGGGATTAAACAGACAGGGAAATACTGACCAAAAAAGGAAGCTATTTCAAAAATTGCCAAAGTATTATTATTTTATCACTGTCTAATTAGCCGCTTTGTTACATTTGAAATTCTGTTGTCAAACCAAACGTTAAAAAGGTGATTATTTTTAATTGATAGCAATTTATGAAAAAAATCAAGATGTCACGAGAGTCATCAAAAAAAAAATTCTCAATTTCTCCGAATGAAAGCGTTAGAATATGTGCTAATAAAAAGCATTTATGTTGAGATGCATAATATCCATTTTCACCAATTGTCAGTCCACAGTAATTTGTGCATTTTGTTAACAATTCTCATCAATATCACGGTAATTCAGTCTACCTCTGAGGCTCAAATAAAAGTCATTTCATTTATTATTTGTGATCACTTGCATTCATGCAATCAATTAGTTGTGATAGGTTCCCAATGCTATTTAATAAATAATGCTCAAAGGAAATTAAGCCATACATTTGCCATTCATGTCTTTACACATTTCTGAAATAAAAATGCTCAAATATATCATATTCTATTTAAAAGGTATCAGCAGGTCACTAAAGAACCAAGGACCAAAACTGAATAGCATCTGATTCAGTTCCACATATGCCTGAACCGTGTCTGCTGTGTAAGCATTCTCCAAGGGTCTTTACAGTGATGTGTAAAGACACCACCACAAAAACTACCCTCTCGTGGGCACAGTCTGATAAAAAGCTCCTTTTGTTCTGTGCAATACCAATTACTCATAGGAGCTGAATTGCTCCTATTTATTCTTTTATCCTCAAATACCTACTTCAGCAAATAATATTAAAAACAGAATGACCTCAGAAGGCAGTCACTGCTAATAAAGTTATTACTTGCTTTGCCAAATTTAAATGTCAGCCAAATTTGGTTTTGAAATTCATGTAAAATAAGTGCTTAAGTGTTTATTATAAACTAATAAAAAGTGTTTATGATAAAATAAGTATTTAATGTAACTACTATAATGGGGGAAATTCTAATTTTCACTAAGTGAAAATCATCCCACAGCATTAAAATTCAGAGGAAATCACAAAGTAATTACATGACATATTGCAACACTCCTAGTTAACATATTAGAAGCTACCAAATATTGGTTGAGCACTTTAACTTGATAGTAGTAGGACCATCTGCTTGCTGTATCACTTATACACAGAATAAAGACATTGTAACTTTTTATGTATTTCAAAACAAAGGAAAGGTTTTAAACTACTTCCACATTCCATAATGCAAATGACATAGCAAACATGCTCCTACCTACTATTGCCAAGCCAGAATGCTTTAGTGATTTTGGTAGCTTTCACAGTGCCACCTGAAATCCTCATCAGCCACATAGAATCTGTTCCAAGATTCTCTTGGTCGGTGAAACTCATGAGTGAGTACAAGACAGTAAATTTCTTACAGTGGGTTTCACGTGATTTAGCTGATTAAGAGGAGGCATAACAATGTTATGAAAGCCACAGGTGCAAGACCGGGAGCCTGCAAATAAGCAGAGCTGGAGGATACATCAAAGCACGTCAAATTCTGTGCAAGTCGAGCAGGTAGATATTGCATTTGAATTCAGAAGGGTTGCCCACATGGTTCCTTTGGAACTGCTGTAGAAAAAACCCTCTCAACACAGCACAGGAATGGAGAAAGAGGACAAGCAAAAGAAGAGCAGAGAGCATCCCCTGGTGGCAGCTGCTTTTATTAAGTTGTCTCAGTCGTCTTCCCCCGAAGCACCCCATTGCTCAGCTCAGAGGAGGCTCCCTGCAAGAGGGAGAAGGTGCCACTTACGGATTTTCTAGTTATCACTGCGCCGGGGGAGGCAGCAGAGGGTGGCACTTGTACCCAGGCGAATGAGGCCTCTGATGGTGGCCAAGAGCCTCGCTAGGCGGGAATGCACAAAACCAGATTCCACTGCACGTTCTCAAGAGGCTGCATTTTCAAGGCTGATTTTTGAAYACAAACTCCTGGGGGGCATTTGGGAACCTACACACAATTCAAAGACTGTGTTCACTCAATACCACAAAATAATGCACTGGGTACAAGTTCTGCTCTCCAACCACAAGAGGTACATAGTAAGGAAGATGGTAGATAAGTAAGTTGGCATAAAGTATTAAAATTACTTTTGGGACAAGTTTTRTAAGATATCTCACAGCAGCAATTCTTCTTAATATATAAGCTGAAGGGAAGCTTGAAAGTCACTCTAGTAAACAAAGAAATTACCAATGAATTCAAGGCACTTCCATTTTCAAGACTTCCAGGAATTCCCTGAGAATTAGGAGAACTAGAAAGAACCAGGCTTAAAGGTAGACAAGGACCAAACCATCAGGGACAGACAAGAGCTCCTTAAGAATCTTCACTGCCCTTAAGAAAGATAACTGATTGTGCCTGTTATCAGTTACAAAGTCAATACTATTCAAGGTGAATGAAAAAAATATTTCAAGTGCAAAACATAATTGAAAACCTGTTATCAACACAGGCAGGGCCAAATGCACTGAAAGTTCCCATCAGGAAACTCAGTTACATTTACAGCCCTATACAATACCTCAAAGGTAGAAACAAAAAATAACAGGGATATAAGATCAAGCCAAGGGTCACTGACATTGAATGAAAGAATTTTGTATTCCTGATTTTATTAGGAATTTTAATTTCTAATTTGGATGAGAAACTGATTACTACAGATTACTAAGAGCATTATGCAAGTTAAATTAAATATTATTCTACTATTCAAAAATGGCACCTTTTCGCTGTGCAAAATTACAAACTAATTAATCTATTCAGTAGATATGGAATTCCATGAACAATCAAACTTGGAAGTCAGTATCAGAAACAGAACAGTACTCAATAGATCCGGTTTCAAGTGAAGGCCCAAGGAAAGCTTACTCTGTAACACGTAGAGGGTCGCAGGCAGGGCTGCAGTCAGTAATGGAGATCTGTACTGAGAAGGCAGTGAATAATTATCTGTCTACATGGCACTTTGGAAAAGRTAAGAAATGACAGCCTTCAGAGAGCTGAGCGAAGAGAAGGCTCATTACCCACTGCAAGCATATTTGTGATAATTCAAAATGATGAGAGAAGTCACAGATTCAAAAGTAAAAATTAGTAAGTCAAATGAATCTAATTGTGACTGATAAAATACTGAGCTCGATCTTCAATACATTCATCCATTGTGCCACAGAGGCACTAAAGGGAAGAAGGGAGGAATACTGCCTTGCCGCTACAAACAGCGCAACCAAGCAAGAAGAGAAAGGCAGAGAAATTGCCTTGCACAGAAATACACAYGTAGAGAAAATGAAATACCAGCTTGCTAAGGGAGCACATTCGGACAGAGAAAGCTCTCAGGTGACGCCTCCTATTGCTGTTACAGTAAGTTTTATGTCAACTTAAATACAGAAAGCTGGGCAGGRGGGAAGAGCCTACTTGCTTGCACAGCTTATATTATCTTCCTTTGCTGCTTGTAATCCAGTGACCCCAGCTCAACGCTCATTATTTAAACTGGCAACACTGCCCCAAAGGCTTCAGTTGGCAGCATCCTTAGAAATGAAACTGAGAGTCACGCAGCTGTGTAACATGGCACACACTTTGCTAACTTGAGACTCATGTTAGAAAAAGTATTCCACTAAATATCTGTAGCAGCTCTCAACAAACAAACAAACAAACTCTAGCAATGTTTAATTTCAAACTGTACCTAATAGCATCATCTACAGATTCTAATATTTTTTCAAAGGAATGGTTTAAATTGCAGCCTGTATCTTAAAACTGACATTTCAAAGTCAAAATCTTTACGCTAGTTAGATAATTATTACAGCCACAGAAAAATCTTTACTGCATCTCCATGACAAGCAGGGAATGAGGGAACGTTAATTAGATGGCTCAAAATCCTAGAGGGTTTCCACCTGCCACAGACTAGTCATACACCTTAAATTACTATTACACTTCTATAATTAACAAATCTTTCTGATAACGTTCTGCTGTTACAACATGATATTTTATCCATCCAACTCTCTATTTTACCCAAATTTGGTAATATAGATAGGAAAAAAAAGGGAAAAAAATGGAAAAAGCAACAGACTTCCACTGTTTACTTCTCTATTCAGCTGCAAGTTACATTGATCTGCCTCTTTCTGCAGCACCAAAGCTATGGAAGCTAACAAGGTCTGTGTAGGTCAAATTCTGATTGCTCAAAAAAGTTCATGAAAATCTTCTAGGTTCAAAGGAAGAAGTAAAGGATAAAAGGCTATTGATTTATTGCACTGTCTACTTACTCTTTCGTGAAGATTCCTCGGGGCCCTGTAGGTGTAATATTGCTTGGATCTAGTCCATGAGTCTCYAGAATGTTGCGAGCTGCAGGACTTAAGCGAATCCTAAAGAAATGAAGAGGAAAATAAGCTATAGTAACAATAACATTAATTCCTTTCATCTACTGTATATCAAAAGAAATGATTAAATACACCATATGTTGTATTTCAGAACCAGAGAAAAAGACTCCTGGGAAAGCGATCTGCAAAAAGACTGTGATTCTAACACTGAGGTCACACTGAGCTCCTTCATCAAGCTCTAGTACAAGATCTCCGAGTTACTCATCTCTTATTTGTTTGGGCAGTTGCAGTAGCATCATTAATTTAGACTAGTTTTAATAATGCCATTATCTTTATTCTAGCTTCTATTTCAGCTTCTAAATTTATTTTATAGAATTGATCAAAACTCTTGAAGTCTTTTGGACAGCAAAAGTCATACAAATATAGCTGCATGATTCAGTACTTGCTTTAAAAGATTAAATATCAAACTCTCTTACAGTCAAATATTTAAATTATCATATATACTAGTAAATATGTGCCTGTCATTTTGTCCTGGGCAGGATATGCCCAGGCAGGATATGCCTAGTAGTAACATTCCAGGCAGAAACGATGCCCAGCCAAAATAAATAAATAAATAAAAATAGACAACGGATTTAAGAGATTTCAACACTCCTAGACACAAAAGTGTTAACCTTTTGGTTAAATACTAAGTACGTAGTTTCAAGTGTTTTGCCCAAATTTCAGAACAGAAGAGAATCACAGAATGGTTGGGTTTGGAAGACACCTTTAGACAGCATGAGGCTCAAGCTGGGTCACCTAGAGCCGGCTGCTCTGGTGTCCAGACAATTTCTGAATATCTCCAAGGATGGAGACTCCACAGCCTCCCTGGATAACTGGTTCCACCTGTTAGTCATCCCTATAGTAAAAAAGTTTTCCTTAGATTCAGATGGAATTTCCCATGTTTCAGTTTGTGCCTCTCGCCCCATGAGTGGGCACCACTGAAAGGAGTCTGGCCCCATAATCTTTACCCTCTCCCTCAAGATATTTATACCCATAAGATTCCCCCTCAGCTTGCCCTTCACCTTAAGGGGTCACAGCTCTCCCATATGAGAGATGCTCCAGTCCCTTAATCACCTAACTGACACTTCACTGGACCCACTCCAGTAGCTTCCATTCATTACTTCCTAAAGGAGACAATATTTGCACCMCAACTAAATCTAAAAACTGTCCATTAACCCTTGTCCAAAAAGATTAAAAAAAAAAAAAGTCATTAATGCATTGATGTTCATGTGATTCCATTCTTGAATCCTGGGAGACTTAATCCTTTTAAGTACTTCCTCCTGTAATGCTACAAGGTAACATTTGGGCAATGACCTCAGTTAGCTGTTTCCATGTGTCTTCCACCTTTGTTAAAASAGTGTAAATGCTGATAACAGAGGTAAACATTGCAATTCAGACACATAAAGTCAAAGAGGTTAATACACGCCCCCCCCCCCCCAAAACTGCCACAAACCAAACAGAACACATGTTACCAAAAATCACAGTTCCCTATTCTTCCCTTCAGTAGGCTGCAATATCACAGCTTTTAGATGCAAGTGCAATCAACTCTAAATAGGAATTGCATAGTATTTGACTTGGTACTGATACTAAACAACAAAACAACCAGGACTACATAAAAATCTATGATGAAGACTCTGACTATCAACAGTAAGCCACATAATGGTTATGAACAAAACTCTTCGGTCAGTATTACTGACAGCAATATTTTAAGGAAAAATCTGCAGAGACTAGCAATTTATACATTCCTGATACATGGCCAGGACATTGGGCTTAATTTATTCCCCTTCTAAAATATTTGCTCATGGTCCTTTCAGCCCAGTCTGGTATTTTCCACATTACTTCATTAGAGGTGAGAGAGATAAATTTGTTTTAARTATCAAAGAGTATAAGCGCTTGGAAGGGTTTTGGAGTGTGACATTTGCTGTTTGTTCTTTTTTATAGCTATAGGTAACAATAGGTAAATTCGCCTTCTGATGCATAAATATCAGTGTCTGTCATACAGGAAGACAACCTTTTCCCTCATCTCAAGATTAGAAACCTTCATAAGGCCATCACATATCAAAATAAAAGCCTACCCACAGAASCCATCCTAAGAAGCCTCTGAATTGATATACTGGGCTTAAAAAAAAAAAAAAAAAACTGTGCAAAGTTTAACACTCCATATGCACTTAAACAGCCTCTTAAACAACAGTTTAACACTAAATGAAATAGGAGACAGACTATTTGATTTCAAAGGTTTTTTTTTTTTTTGTAAAGCTCTACTGGTCTAACTAAATTAGAGTTCCTTTTCAGCGTGCACACAGAAACTCACTGCAGCTTCCCAGGGTGATGCTCCAGCTTAGGAGGGGCTGAAACTGAAGGGCCTGCGGGAGCTGAGGTAGGAGCAGCAGCTGCTGGAGCCAGAGGGGACAGGGCACCAGCATCCGCCGGGATTTCAACCGCCTTCCAGTCCTGCCCGTCTTCCACGAGCAGGCCGATCAGCGAGCCCAAGCGAACGTTTTTGCTTCCTTCTTCCACCTAAATTTAGGGCAACAAGAACATTAAGTTAACGTAAGTTACATACTTCACGCTACACACTAGTCTGACTAAAAAAGGGTAGATGTGAAAATTTCAGTCATCTTAATGGCCCTTTGTCAGGAAAACACCTTCAGTTTTCTCGCTCCTATCAATAATGAAAACAGCAACAGCAGTTGCTAATATGAAGTATGGAGAAGTATGAACCACCCCATACACCTGAAGCCAGGACTCAGAACTCGAGGTAAGTTGCAGGCTGCTGAGTACCAGAGCCTCTCAAGGGCAGTAACATTCCCAGGGCACCTGCCCAGGTGGGAAACAGCCTTTCAGGACCCCAGGTAGCCAAGAGTTAGACAAGTTAGACCATATTGGCCCAAACAGATCTCTAAACCAAGGAGYTGGACATTAAATCTCCACCAGGAAGCCAAACCCTTGTCTGAAAGTGTATCTGCAACACCGACATTTTGCAAACCACTACCAGACATCTGCAAAACTGGAAAAAAAGTCACAAAGCAAAAATATAGAGTATCAGGTAGCACAGTTTTCTAATTACTTTCAATAGGTGTCTTAGAGGACAGAATGCTGTAACCGCACAGGCTCTAACAGGCAGATGCAAACACTGAACTGCATTACTCTTACCTAGGTTTGCTGTCTGGCACTAACTCTCAAACTAGAGCATTTCATATTTCATATCATTTTCCTCCTCCCCTCAGAGGGGCCGACACTAGACCAAAGTAGGTAGAGGAGAGGCAATCTGAGTATGTTCTGATAAAACATTCCATATTTCTGTCAGCCCCGTTCCCTTCCCACCCGCAAACACCGGGTTAACTTCAGTGCAACTCTTATTCTTTAATAGCAACCATTACATGAAAGAGCTCTCAGATCAATACTTCTTGTACTGATCTCTTGTTGCATTCTTCTCATTAATATTCTGAGCTTCATCTGAGAGAAAAAAAGTCTGAAGTGTCGGTCAAGCCTTGTTTTTATTCAGATGAATTTAAACTACCCGGGGACACAGAAGGGCAATGAAAATTCTTGAACTTATTAGGCTAATGCTGAAAATTTCTAGGCCCATTAATAAGTAGATTTGTGTCTCTCCATGAAAACGCTGCTGCCAGCTATTCATATCAAATTACTGCCACTCATAATCAAATAAAAMAGCAGCTTGAACCTAGTGCACATACAACCTACCTTACTTAATCATCAGGAATATGAAAAATAACTAGATAGACAGATCTCTTCGGCAGAAAAGGCTTCAAGACTGCATAGGATTACAGGATTACAAACTAAGCATGAATCAATGTAGACAAAAAAAAAAAAAAAAAAAGACATGAGAAGGGTGGCATGTGTGTTACATTTATCCCAGAAGTTTCCCTCCCTGAAGGGCTGAAGAAATAGATGGACTATATAAACCAGGTGAGAGCGCCAACTTTCAACACCAACTGTTAGAGAAAGTCTGGAGAATTACAACAGAATAAACGCAGAATAAAAGGGATAAGATTTTTYAAAATAGTTCTTTGAGGTTGAAAAAAAAGATATGTTAGGGGTCTATTAATACATACATGTCTGTGACAAATGTTCTAGTAATTAGCAACTACTTTGCAATTAAGTTTTTTAATAGTCTCATTACCAAAAGTTGCATTTATACAGAGCAATATTTACAGGGCAATGTCTGACACATGTTTTAATGCAAAATTACAGAAAAAACRTATTTGTTTTTTAGGTAACAGTCCAGCAACTACACAGAGTTGTTCTGAGCACTCATGCTCAGAAATAGGACCAGAAGACTGGATATCATCTCCACATAATGATTTGGAATATTGTGCAAAGTTAGAAAGATCTCAAATTTCTTATAGTTGCTCTTGGATCAAAAACAGKATTAAAATGGTTGAAGAACAATCGATTCCAATAGAGGTGCGTTAATTAAAATCTTAAATTTAAGATTGACAAGAACTCATTACTTAGCTTTTACACAACTTTGAATTCTAAAAATATTTTAACTTCATTTCCCCTAAGTACGCGGAATCCTTATTTCTTTTTCTTCCTGCATTTCAGATGCATTGTGTTTTACAAAATATTTATAACCTGATATTAGGCCTCCATTAATTAGGAAGACTAGAATTTTCTAATTTAAAAGGAAACATTTCAATGTTTCACACTTCACACTGAAATCAGATTCTTAAGTTATCCTTATGCTGTGAAACAATCATCCTCAAATATTTTAAGAAAAAAAAAAACCCTAACAACATTGGTATGCTCACTATGAGTTAATATCCCTTTAAACAGATTATGCAAAACAAAAAAATAACCATTTTAAAGAGCCTTTCATATTATTTTAAATAAAGGTAAAATTAAAATGGTAAGATGTTTCTACCCTAGGGGAGCATGCTAATGGTAAAATGTTTCCCTAAACAGCAATTTTAAATGGCAAAAATGTTTCCACTATAGAACATARAGGATCTCAGGAAAAAAAGAGAAAACTCAACACACACACACGTCTCCCCGGGTCATATTAATGAACATTTAGTTAATGAAAACCTATACGGTAAATTCCTCGAAGCAGGACATTTACCTTAGGAAACTGGCAGTGGCAATTACAAAAACACTCTCATGAACCGAGTGCCTAAATTGGAGAACATTCTATTTAGATAGCGAAATAACTCTTAAGCTTAAAATTCCAGTGAGGCAAAACATAACCCCCAAACTAATAATAAAACAACAGAAAACATTTGGAAGCCTGCATGCATCTCACCACCTACTCGCTAATATTATTTTTAATTGCATGCTACTGTTCTGCAAGGAGAGCAATTTTCACACCAAAGAAGAGCCCAATCACAGGCTGTGAATGCTGCCGAAAAGTCTCTATGAATGGTTTTGTCCCTCCTGGGSTACCAGGAAACGTTGGTTAACGATTCCTGATGGTGTTAACAATTCACAGCATATGAAGGCCCAGGCCCCTAACTGAAAAATGCTATGGATTCTAGAAGACATTCACTGCTCTACAGTGCAGACCCAGGCCCAAGGTACTCAGATCTGCCTGCTGAAACGTAGTGGAGACCACACACCCTACCTCTCGCCATCGCTTAGTTAAGCATGGTAGTTAACTCTATATGAAAGAGAAATAAAACAAAACCCTATAATGTACAGGCCTGATTAATGCTGTGAGATATATAGTGGATTAAAACATCCTTTTAAGGCCCAGCTTTGCATATGAAAGATGGAAACAGCATATAAAAGCAAGCAGAATGTTAACAGGGATGTATTTATGATGAGTGATGAAGTCTTGTACCATAAAGCCAAGTGGTTTAAGGAAGAACTGCAACTGCTCTGCAGTCGGAGCTCTTGCAGAAAACCAAAACAAAGAGCAATAGAGAAATTTACAGTGTGAGACTTCTACGATAATGCCTTCTTACACAYGACTAAAAGGCAAGCCTTAAGCAGCGCAGATCCAAACCAAATCCTTCATCCTAATCCACGCAGTCTAGTTGCTACTGCTCCTATCTTGGTGCAGAGCAGGATTTCAGGCCAAACAGAACCTAAGTAATACAAGACAAATTACAAAACGACCAAATCCCTACCAGTATTTTAGCCAAGATGCCATCATCGCTGGATTCCATGGTAACCACTGCTTTGTCCGTTTCAATCTCACACAACGCRTCTCCGGCGTTCACTGCTTCACCTGCAAAACGCAACAGAACTTAGGAACACTTAGTCTAAACTTCCTTTTGAATCTACTTGATTACAGAGACAGAGACATTTAAACCTRTGATACCAACGTTTTACACTTTTAATACATTCCCTGAGTAGCAGATATCCATAAAAAAAATCATTAATTTGTATCATCTTTCATTTTCAACTAAAAACATGATGATTCAGAGATGAAGAGTGCTGCAGCAGAGCACTGATCGGTAATTCACTGAATTTCAAATGGCCACCTTTTAAGTAGATTTTTCTAAGWGGAAGCCAACACACAATGAAATTGAGTTACACGAGATGACAAATCAGGAGCATAAGCAGGAATATAACCCGCAACCCTCCATTTTCATTGCCAGCCATAAACCAGAGAAAGCTACTGCTGAGATTTCTGAGATACTCATCACAAACAACAGTTTCTGTTACTAAGTATTACCATGGTGCTCCAAAGACTGACAGGGTTGAAAGTTCCCTGATTTGTATGTACACTATTAAATATATACAAATAAAAATTGAATTGCTTCAAATGGCAACCCCACACCCCACGTTTGCTTCCTAAGTCTCTTATATAGCCAGCAAAACATTAAAAAAACCCCCACAACTTTGTGAAATAAAAATATCCATAAGTGTTAGAAGTARCTTTTTCTATTATATTACACAAGTCTATAGGCAGAATTGCCCTAAGCATCTTTTCTTCTGCTCTCAAGGAATATGTCAACCTGTTAGTGCATGAGAAAAATGTTATGGGTCTGGATTCACTCAGCAGATGAACACAACTGGACAGTCAGCATTAAGCTGACACTACACTAGAAAACCTTGATCCTGTTGTTGAATGTTTCGGCCTCCAGCAGAATAGTTCCTTACAGTTCCATCGTTCCTTACAGAGTACTCAAAAAGCAGTATAATAAATATAAACCTAACTCATGAATGTATTTTTAATATTAAGAATTTAATAACCCACCAGCACTATAAATGCTGCCACAGTATTATCTGTTTAAGTATTCAACTCAATTCTTCCTGCCACTGTCTGCAGTGTTCAAGTATATGAAGAAAAACTCTATTTAYAGGTTTACATGTTGCAACCATTTATTTATTTATTCACCAACCATACAACCATTTATTCAGTTGCAATCATTTAGCTAAGAGAAATAAATCATCTCCCTTACTTCCTGGTTTAGGACTATCTGAATGGAAAGAAACAAAAAAACAGGTATATTACCATTCCTGTGACCTCTCTAGTGGTGAACAGTGAAACATTCAAACCTCAGTCAATTACAGAACATCCAATTTTTCAAGTCAAAAGTGTTCCTATTCTGAAGCTTGGCAAAGGAGGCCACAAACACTTGAGTACTTAATGTAATAACCTAATTGCCACATTGCACTTTGCATTAATTAGAGCATAAACAATTTATGAAAGAAATCCTGTATTCTAGGGTTGATATCAGTGATTTAATTCCACTAGACGATTAATTCAAATGGCCTGGTACATCAGACTGCTAAGCAAGTCTTTGGTAGATGCTAAGAAATCCAGTTGTTGTGTAAATTCCATAACCTCCTGCACAAAGACAGGCAAGCTCAAAGCTCCTCCACTCCATATCTCAACCCCTGTCCCCTGCCTGCAATCACTGTAAATGCTTTGCACCACAAAGCACAGTAGTAACTCCAACAGTGCAAGTTAGCCAAAGTAAATACATCATGGAAAATGGATGCATGAATGAAATCTCCTAATTTTGGTGCATCGGGCTGTTTACAGACACCTGTGAAGAATTCCCTTGAGCAGGGGAGAAAAGCCAAAGCCTTCATGTACCTGGACAAACCACTTTTTCCTTATTTCACAGTAGCCTTCAAATCAAAACAAACATACACACTCATGTGTTTCAGTACCTAATTGCAACAGAAACAACAGCTCATGCCTCCTGATGCCCTTTCCCATGTTAATTACAAATCAGATTTCCAAACAGAGTAAATTAAAGGAAAAAAAAAAAAGAAAAGAAAAAAAAAAGAGGTTTGTTGAGAACAAACAAAACAACATAGGACAAAGGGATTTGCCGAGATGGCAGCTCTCAGAGCTGTTCCACAGCAAACACTGGAAGTCCTGTGCACACGTGGGGGTGCACGTGCACCCTGTGATTCATTTCCCACAGCGAGACTCAGGGATCGGGATCTCTGCTGAAGCAGTTTCCCTCTGGGGGTCGGATGCAATGGGCTACTGGCCATAGCCTCCTTCCGGTCACTAGCAGAGAAGTGCCCAAATCATAAGACAAACTGTGTTTCTTGATGTACTCTTCACAAACCAAATTAAAGCTGACTGGGTATAGAGACTGAAGGCCCCGGAGGTTGTGTCTCAGAAGAAGGTCAGGTTACACTGTACAAGGAAACAGCTACTACTGCTGCGTAGTCTGTTTTCTGCCCACGAGAACAAGAGGGCTTTAGTCTCCAGGGCTGCCAGTCTATCATCTTTCATCAACACTAAATTCATGCATAATAAATACCGGTTTTAGAAACACAGTTTTATTTTTAAGTATCCATCTTTATTACCCTGAGGAATTGATATGAAGCAGCATTAATGATGAGAGGAAAGTAGTAAAGCTGTCAATTAAATGCAGCATTTTTCCTTTTGCTAGAGTGAAATCATCTGCCTCTCCTCCAACGCATAAAATGAAAACATTTGATTTCTACACAAAGAGCAGAGAAAGTGATGATAGCAGCAGYATTCTACTGGCCCCTGCTGGTCAGGCACAGCCTGCAGCTTTCTCCTCTCAAGTACTCCCAGGTACTTATTTCATTTTATCGTATATAAAATTATCAAACATTTAGATTCACTAACGTAGATGACCAACACACTGACRGATGTTGTGGTTCTGCTCTGCAGTGAGAGCAGAAGCAATAGATCACTTGGCTCTTTTCTCCAAAACTTATGTCTCCATTTTCTTATATCATCATTATATTAATTCCAGGTTGACTGAGAAAATAACGTTCAGAGGAACTAATTATGGCCACAGATGTGTCAATTAAGACAGCATCCAATATTCAGTTTTAGTCTTTTTTCTAAAGAGAAAGTAGAGCAGAGGAAATCCTAATGTGGTTTATATCTAAGACCATTCACCAGTAAGATTTGATGTTAAGTTTGTGATACAGAGCAAAATTAAATTCATTTCAACTCCTCCAACGATGTCGTTTACTACTAAAACACTTTAAATCACAAAACAACACACAAAAAACAAGATTTTTATATGTTTAATGGATAAATTAATAACGACTAATGATCAGAAAAGGATTTCCAGCTGTTCCTTCCTCTCTACATAATCTTGGACTTGCTACTTTACTAACTGAAGCTTCAAGCTTTGCTAACATGGAGCAAATACATTTTACAGATTGACACGCTGTATTTTTCCAAGTAAACTCTTCAGAAATTCTTAACACAAGTTTTACAAGCAAAATCTCATGACCACTATGTAAGGACCTCGAAGGCATAAAATCACTGCCTTTCCATCACCCGCAAAATGTCTAAAACACACTATGAGCAAAGTAGGGGTCAGTTTCTCTTCAGGTGTCATAGTGCAGACAGCTGAAACTAACTGAGGTTCCAAAATATCCTATCATGAAAATTAACTAGCTTACAAGCGCCTCTTCAGCTTTCAGAGTAGACTATAATTTAAGCATTTGGAGGARAGTAATAACTTACTTGCTTTGCAGTTGTTAAATAACTATAAAAATACTATGTCTTTCTAATATATTGGAAAAACAAAGCAGAGAGCCTGCCCCAAATCAAAGGCTCTCAGACAAAATTACTGAGCTCCAGTAACACACTAGATGTGACAGGGAGAGATGAACTTTAGATGAACTAAACAAAGCAACCAGATGACTTTCCAGTGTCAGTGCTGCAGAATAGCCCAGTGAAGAATTCCACATTCCACTAGAAAAAGAGAACGCTCACCTATCAAATTTTTGCTCCATACTACTAAGGTGCAAGCTGAAAGGACRAACTTTTCCCAAAGACTAGCTTGGAAAAGTTAACAAAATACAGCAATTGTGGCAATAGAAAATTATCTATTTTACCCATCTATCTTACCTTCCTTTTTTAACCATTTCACAATGTTTCCTTCTTCCATCGTCGGAGAAAGTGCAGGCATGAGAACTTTAATGGGTGGCGTACCTGCAACACAAGCACATGATTAYCTAAATTAGATTACCCTGAAAGTATATTTGTCCTCTGTTAACTGCTTAACTCAACTCAAATAAGACTGAAGCAGTTTACAAATCTGAAAAACAGTTGAACGCTCACTAAAAAGTTGTTCCTTTTCTACAGGTTACAAACAAACATGCACTGCGAATGCAGGTCAGAGAAGCACAGAGTGTAAACCTCATCTGTTATGTATGCAAAAGGAGTTAACTTGAATACTCATAAATAATACATAACTACCAGGCAAATCAAACTCTGTCTTAAAATACAATATAAACACTTAGGGGCTTCAGATCCTCATGCTGTCTCAACTTTGATTCAACTACTATTTAATTAAAACTTTCCCTGGGACCCATGCTTRGTACATTATTAAAAATAATACCACCTAATATTTCAAGTTACTGTCAGCTCAATCTGATGTACTGAACAAGACTGTGGTGGACTGAAGTGAAGTAAGGTTAGAGAACCTTTCTCCAATAAACATGTAAACAGAGAGATATGTAAATACATGAACTCAAATCTGGGAGTTGAGGCTGCAAGCAAGCTGAAGTTGGTATGGAGGACAAAAATGCAGCCAAAAAAACCCACAAATATGCATTAGAATAGATCAGCAGCTACTAATGCTGTGCTGCTGTCTCCCTTCCACAGAGATACCACAGATATCAAATACCGAGCCAGTTAAAGCATCCCATGCAACAGAGACATAAGTGCTAAGCCAAATCACATTTCCATTTTCTYGGGCTTCCAGAAGTAGCCCTACAGATGCTTAGTTCTGCTTCCCTTGTACGACCTCTAAGCTAAACCTTGGGTAACGTGCTGTGCCCCAGCCGCTCAAGCGCTCCAAGACACTACATGAATGAGCCAGGGCTCGTGGCAAGCTGGCAGCACGGGGAGCTCACAGYGCACGCATCAGGCTCGCAAGAGCCGAGGAGCCCAAGGGAAAGAGCAACAGGCGGAGGCAGCTCGGTGCCCAGGAGAGGCCGGCGCGGCGGGAGCGGGAGCCGCAGGGTGAGGCCCAGGGCTCCGGGCCGCCGCGCGGCCACGTGCCAGGAGCGCGGCCAACCCCAGGCACAGGGCTCCCGGCCCTGCCCTCGAGCTCTTCTTCTACATGTGCACTGCGCCAGCAGTACGGATTTGCACATCGGMGCAAACGGCCTCCTCTGCTGTGTCTCAAAGTACTCACCCATCCCCAGGCTGCTGGTCACGGGTATGCGCACGYGGGAACGGAGAGCGGGGAAAACAGAGAACGAACTCGGGCAGTGGTCAGAATCCTTTCTGACTTTTAGCCAGAGGTTAGRTACTGATATCTTGGCTGCAATTACTGCAGCGTTAAGAACATGACAWGGCAAAGTATATAATCCCATTCACTCAAAGCTCAAAAATTAAAGACAGAAATGGCAATTCAGAGCCCCAAACYGCACAGCCAGCAACACTGTGGGGCTCCTCAGAAGCCACCACAAACATCTTCCTCCTCATCTTTGTGCTAGGCTGTGGAATCTTCCCTAGATGATAAAATGTATTTCAGTGGCAAGATCTTATATTTCTGTTAAAAAGATCAAAAGATATCTCATCACAGAGGCCTTCTTCATGGAGATGTAACCATGGACAGAGACCAGACCATAGATCTTAACTGTCTCTACGTTACTGCTACCCTGTTATGAAAGAATAGACGATAGCACTTGTGAAAGAGTAAAGAAGCATTTAGCAATAAATATTTAAGGGGTGGGGTAATGTTAAAGAAAAAAAAAGTAGAATTTCTCCATTCTTCCTGGATATAACACCAATTTCTTTTATTGCAAACTGGACACATTGCAGCAAAGACCCAATAACCTCAGCAGCCGCTAACAATCTTGCTATTTCAATAGAGTCTGAGATCAGGAAGCAAGTTATTTATCTGCCAAAGTCTCCAGGGGATCAACACAACCAGGRCTGCACTCCCGAAACCCACAAACTGTGGGAAGGAGCCCAGTGTACACAGGGCTCCTGTTCCTGCAGGACTTTTCATGAAGAAATAGACACGCATTTGTTTCTGCCTTCCATTCCTTAATTCCAAACCACTCACAGAATGATCTTCCYGTGACACATAAACACTTGCCAGTTTCCATGCTCAGAAATGTATCCAATGCTCCTAACAACACCCGTACCTTTCACCACAATTGCCCCAAGAATTAAGTCAGGTTTCTTGCTGTTGCCTCCCAACTTGAACTGAAACATAAGTAAATGAACTACACTTTGAATGTGTACTAATCGGTGAATGTATACGTGCATTCATTTATCAAATCATGCTTATCTACAATGATTTAAGTACYGCAAGCTATGTATATAATTTGTCTTCACTCAAAAAGCATAGATAACAGCAAGTAGAAAAGAACGCATAACACACCAGTTGAAAACTTGTGTGATATAAAGAAATGCTTTGCTTCGCTTGTTTAACTTGCCCAGCACACTTTGGCATGGCAAATGTGATTTTGGAAGGCATATTCACATCAACATYTAGGACTAGCTAAAAATAGTGAGTACCTCTCATGAAAAAAAAAGGAAAGCGTCACAAAGCATCACACTTTTCTAATGAAGAAAAAATTAATATTTAATGATAGTGGCTAACACATGCCACTTCCTAAAGAGTGCCCCACTGCACTCCTGGGTACGCTCTGTAGGCRAGTTGGAGGCTGCTCGGATCTTTCTGCAGACAACAGAACATAAACTGTTATAAACAGAATATAAGCCAGGTAGATTAACAACACCGCTCAGTTTTACCTCAGAGGCGGGAGCAGGACTCAGCGACTTGCCCTGCATCCCCAATCCAAGCAAAGGTGACAACCACCCACCTCCCGACCTCCTGGTCCGAGCTCTAGGCAATAAACACAGCACCGTAACTAGCAAGCTTTCCCTTCGGGGCTATGAAATCACGTCAGTGCAACGACAGCCTCTTGGATCTGCATCTACCATTCACCAGAGCTGCTCGCCAGCTGATACCCTATACTTTTGGAAAAATACCCTATATGGAAAAATAAAGCAGCATTTAAAATAAATCAAGAAGAGAAGCAAATTTGTTATGTCCCTGTTTTCATCAGAGGCTTTGGGGCAAGTCACATTTCCAACAGTTTGTTTGTTTGTTTAAATAGGGGCTTTGCTAAAAGAAATATCACATCCTCTGCGCTCCATGTGACTATGTTCCTTTTAATTTGTGTATAAGCGAACACAATCTTTACAGCCTAATCCACAGAGACTTCTTCTTTGCAGTTTTTATTCACTAACGGACTCCAAATTTTCACATGATGCTCTGTCCTCTCTGTCTTCTGATTCATTAACAGTTTCCGAACATCATCATCAGTCAGCAAAGCAAGTAACGTCTCAGGTGGTGGAGCTGGAAGGAAAATTTTCTTTCTCAAAGAAAATGACATTGCCCATCTAAGCACAACAGGTGAAAGACAAGGAAATGAAAAACCTCTAGAAGGTCATAACGGAGGTTAACCATGGGCTATGCCATCAGCAGCACTTTATTTGGCACCTTGTTCACCCTACTGCCCGTGCGTCTGTAGCGTGGTTTGCGTTTCCACTCCCACCAGGTGCACACCAGCATCTTCCTCCCGGTCATTCCCTCTGCTGGGCAACAAACTGGCAGGTAGGAGGCCGATTCTGATGCACTCTTCCCATGCACCCAACTTGAGTCAAGAAGAGTTCTGTCTACGCAAAGCAAATCTATCCCACCCCTCCCGGAGGACAGCAACAAACAGAATCATAAAAAACAAACAAATAAACATTTCCTTCACTTAGGCTAGCACTTACCCATAGCTATGGCCTCAGGTGTAAACATTTTAAGGCTGTTTAACTGCAAAAGCAGCAACAATAGACTTCAGTCCTGTGTGCATTTCGCTGTGTAACAAGCTAACTCTTCTTCCTTGCATTCATTTGTTTATATAAAACTTCTTTGCTACCTGGGCCRGACAAGAATTCCATCATTTTATGCTGTTACCTTTTCAGCTTTATTCCTCCTAGGGATTTGGCCTGGTTTCTGGCTTTTGTGCTTGCTTGCTCGATTTCAGAATTACTGATGGGTTATTAGGCCTTTCAAATTGACCTTCCCCTACGGCTTGTTTTTGGTTTTCCACAGCACACAGCACACAGCACTGAGGATGCGGGACTCTGCCCAGAAACTAGCCAGTATTTTTACAGAGCCTCGTCGCCGCGGCCTGCACCAACCCTGCGGCTCCGGGGGCCGTGCGGGGGGCCAGGCCAGGGCTCTGCGGAGCGCTGCGAAGCGAAGTACCCAGAGCAGCAGCCGGGCTCGCGCACGCCGCGGAAACCGAGCAGGCCGAGGGCAGCGGCGGGCCGGGAACCGCCGCCGGCCGGTCCCTGCCAGCGGCACC